CCTAATTAGAGAAACCATAATTTGAACACTAGTAGGCTGGCTCTTCTGATTGTAACTTTCAAAGTGAGCAGCACAGCCCGCCCACTGGTAGTGGGACCCACAAACGTTCTTGGAACCACCTCTTTTACCATAATGCTGAAAGGATGTATAATCAGCACAGGCAATACCCCCAAATCCCCTGATGCTATGCTTTGTTCACATCAGCCTAGTGTGGACCCCAAGAAGAACGATTCATTTGATGTGAACCCTGAGAAGGAATTTATCTGCTGAGATGGACTCCCCATGGTCAACCAAGGGCCCAAGAGCCTAGCGTAACCACATAGAAACTGTTTCTTTAATGTGACCTTTCCTTCTTTCTTTCCTTTTGATTCAAACTGGCCTCATCCATTACCCTGACTCACCTGCCTCCTTCTCCCTTGCAGGATCACTCCCTTGATCATTAAGTCTTCAGGACAATGAGGTTCTGATGAGCATCAAATAATCTTAGGAACAAAGCCTTGGGTCTCTTGACCCCACAGACAGTTTGTCAAACTAGAGATAACATCTAGGACTCAGTTGTGTTTCAGCTCCAGTCCCAGAAAGTAGCAAAACCAGACAAAGAGATGCCAAGGCTGACATCAGGACCAGATGCTCTGATCAACTACTCCCTACCCTAGCACCAACCAATCAGAAGAGACCATGACCCTAAGTCCCGTAGTCACCATGATTAATGATTTCTCCTCTATATAACCCATCCCCTGGAAGCCATTGGGGAGCCAGGTCTTTGAGCATAAGCTAACCTGTCTTCAGGCATGGGCCACTACCTTAAAGTAAATCCTTACTTTCTTTGCTGCAAACTCTAGTTCATGTTTTATTGGGCTTTGATGCGCCCAGGCAAACAGACCTCTTTAGTCGAGTAACACTAGCGGCCATTTACTGACAGGGGCTCCTCACATGCTATGTACGCTGGGAAGAACCTTGGACTGAACTCTCAGCTTATTGAACTACCCTGCTTGGTTATACTGTCTGAATTAACTATTATAAGGGAGTTCCTGATTTCCTTTAGGACAAATGTACTTACTACCTGCCCTGTCCAATCAGACCTTCTCCATAACGGCCCATCAGGATGCATAATGTCAATCAATCAGGACTGACAATTTGGCCAATCAGAACTGTATAAATTTGGATATCTCATTTACAAAAATTGGACCTAATTGAGAATGGGCAGGACTTTCTACTATAAAAGGCAGCTTCCCCTTTGTCTTGAAGGAGCACAATTTACATTGCTACCTGAATCGGTGTCTCCCCAGCTATAGCTCCTTTTGCTCACATAAATGCTTTTTATTCTTCTTACAGTCAAAAATTAATTTTGGTTTACATTAGAAATAGTCACTTTCCCCCAAGCCTTGGTGATCCCAAGTACCCACCATCTCTCTGCCTGCCTGCCTGCCCCTCGGTACTTGAGCACTGCTGCAGGAAAATAAATAGCAAGGTAGATTGGTACTACCATAAATGTGTAACCACTAATCTCAACTGGGTTCTCACTCAACAATGCCCAAACAACTATTTCAAATCTCTATTCTCCTGGGAAAGGAGGGCAGCATTTTCACCAAATGCAAACCCATATTCCCTTCTCTCCTGCTAGCTGTAAGAGGGGAAAGGTCCCTCCTCCTATCCAAAGCCAATCCATCCACACAAGTAGTCTGAAGTCCGCCTGCCTCCAGCTTTTCCTTATTGACCATCAGGATATCTTTATCTTTTCCCTTTTACAGAATCCTTTCTCTGTGTATTTAGTGCCCAATTATTGCCTATGTTTAGGAAATCCTTCCCTCACCCCACTCTCCCCTCCAGCTACTGCACCTCCTCATCTTTCCCCTTTCCCAGGCAAAGAGCTCCAGCTATCATCTTCTTACCTTCTACTCCCACTCTGGCTTCCACCTCNATCTTTCCCCTTTCCCAGGCAAAAGGCTCCAGCTATCATCTTCTTACCTTCTACTCCCACTCTGGCTTCCACCTCCACCACTCCACTGTCAAATATTACTTTACTTTCCCTTCATCATTGCCATTTAAAAAGACCACACTTCACATTCCACATCTTGGTTTCTCAGTAGCAGAGTTGGTTTCTGTTTCCTTTTTTCCCTTGGTTTCTGGGATACTACAGGTTTCTTTTTTTTTTTTTTTTTAAGTTCCATGCATACTTTTTCCCAAGCTCCTTTATTGTCTCATCCTCCTTTACCTGACACTTAAATGTAATAATTTCTCAAGGCTGTCATTAAATAGTACCTGCTTCACAAAGTTGTTGAAGGATGACATGAGTTAATGAAGTATGTGAAGGCTCAGAACAGTACCTGGCATATGGTAAATGGTAGGTGTTTGCTATTGCCTCTAGTTGATTTAATCTACTCCCATGGCTCCAACTGCCATTTTGAAGCTGACAGTTCTCTAATGCAATGTCATCATGCAGCTCTCTTCCCTGAGCTCTAGACAGACAGACTCACATACTGGTTTATCACCTCTACTCAGATATCTCCCGATACCTCAAGTGCAACATGTTCAAAATGAAACTTCTCCCACCTTGCCCAAACTTGATTTGGAGGGGATCACAAGCTACTTTGAGAATCTGATGAAAAATGAGTCTCTTATAAAAATTCACAAATGACATCATTTGAATACAACCTGAAGCAATTCATGGACCTCAAATTAAGGATTCCTGCCTTAGTGAATGTATCACTTGAGCTGAGTCTTAAAAAAAGAGTAGAGTTTCACCTGGTGGACAGGCATGCCAGGTGGAGAATGGCATAGCTGGCTAAGAAGGCAGCTTGACAAAGGCAAGGAACTGGAAACACCCTGCTGATGTGTCTGGCTGCAGGGTACAAGGGTAGACCTGCCAAGAAACAAGGCCAGAGAGAGAGGAATGCCATAACACTGGGGCTTATAGGGCACACTGAGCTCTTTGCCTTTTATAGATGGCAGAGCCACTAGCAGTTTGAATGGGAGAGAAACATGATCAGATCTGGGATTTAAAAATAATGATAGCAAACATGTATTGAGTGCTTTCTCCATGTTCAATACACAGTCTCGACAGGCAGCTATACGAAAGCAAGAAAGGTAAGAGGGGGCAAGCTCTGGAAAAGCAGAGAAACTATGAACAGCTTTTTGATAATTAAACTACTTCAAAGAATATGTGAATATGTGGCAGATACTAAACTAATAAGCATACACAGAAACTATTTTATTTAAAGACCATTTTACCTGTATCTTTTATTTAAGGCTGCTACTGAGGCCACAAGAATTCTTTAAACCACCCTGTCCTGTTACAACTGCACATTTTCGTGACAGGCAGAGAATAGAAGCTCTCGTATAGACGTGTTCAGCAAGTCCCTCCCAGGAGCCCTGGCAGCTGTGATGCTGCTCATTGGGATCCCAGGGTGATGTCAAGTGGGTGGAGAGGGTTAGGGACTCCTCTCCACCCACTTCTCCAAGAGAGAACCTTTGGAAAAAATATTTGTTGTGGGGGAGCTTTGCAAATTGAAAACAAATGGACCAGTCAGTGCTTTATTTAACCCAGCTGAAAATGAGCTGGTTAATTTTGCTTACTTTCTTCTATTCATGGTCCATCTAACTAGAGGCAGGAGAGAGAAAAAAGCCAAGGATCTTCAATTAAGGTAGATAAAATGCTACATATACAAAGTGTGGGAAAAGCAAGGGAGCTCAATATTTGGACTCAGGTTACTCCCCTGGAATGTCACTGGGTTCTGTAGTGAACCATAGATGATCACAAGTTTGGAAAACAGGAAAAGGCCATTGCAGGGTAAATGCTTTAGGGCATAACGTCCCAGATTTGGGCTAGAAATGGCAGTGGAGGCTGCAAAGAAGGGCTGAGTAGGGAGCTCTTCTTGGGGTCAGGAACCCTGGGTCCATTCTGGGCTTGGACTTTCTTCCTGCTCTCGCCCAGTTCCCAGACCCTGAGATGAGGCTAAACCTCCCCAACCTTCCAGGATCAAGGCTGTCTGGACAGCTCCAGCCCTCCCTCCCCCAGGGTTACTCCAGATAGGAAAATACACCCTTTCCTCCTGGGTCAATCAATACCCGCATCCTGGACGCAGGACGTGGCGCTGACTCTGCACAGGGAAATCCTCAGGAGATAGGGGCTGGGTGGAGACCTTTACAATGATTTTTATCTCCTAAAAGACATTCAGGAAACCGATTTTGTTGGGAAAGGGCTAATTAGTCTCCAAAGGTTTGGGGTAACTGTTTGGGTCTGTTCAAGTGAAGAGGACATTTCTTTAAATATGTCTTCATCCCACCTGTACTCAAGGCAAACGGCTCCGCGCGGGACACGCACACGCAGGGGCGAGGAACTTCGGCGAGGGGGTGGGGGCGCCGCGGCGGAGTT